AAAAAATGACCACAAACTCTCCCAAGTCTCCCCCCAAAAGTGACCCAAAACTCACCCAAATATCCCCCCAAAATGACCAGAAACTAACAGAAATCTCCTTAAAAAATGACCACCAACTCACCCAAATCTCCACAAAATATGACCAGATACAAACAGAAATCTCCCAAAAAATGACAAGAAAATCAGCCAAAACTACCCAAAAAATGAGCAAAAACTCACCCAAATATCCCTAAAAAATCACCAGAAACTCACACAAATATCCCTAAAATATGACCAGAAACTCTCCCAAATCTCCCCAAAAAATGACAAGAAACTCACCTAAATATCCCCAAAAACTGACCAGAAACTCACCCAAATCTCCCCAAACAATGACCCAAAACTCACACAAATCTCTCCAAAAAATGACCCAAAACTCACCTAAATATCCCCCAAATTGACCAAAAGCTCAAAAAAATCTCCCCAAAAAATGACCAGAAATTCACTCAAGCCTCCCCAGAAAATGACAAGAAACTCACCCAAATCTCCCCAAAAAATGACCACAAACTCAAACAAATCACCCAAAAAATTTCACAAAACTCACACAAATCTCCCCGAAAACTGACCACACACTCACACAAATCTCCTTAATATATGACCAGAAACTCATCAAACTCTCCCCCAAAAATGACCTAAAACTCACCCAAATCTCCCCAAAAATGACTCAAAACTCACCCAAATCTCCCCAAAAAATGACCAAAAACTCTCCCAAATCTCCACAAAAAATGACCCAAAACTCACCGAAATATCCCCAAAAAATCACCAAAAACTCACACAAATGTCCCGAAGAAATGACCAAAAACTCAAATAAATCTCCCCAAAAAAATGACCAGAAATTCACACAAGCCTCCCCAGAAAATGACCAGAAATTCACCCAAATCTCCCCAAAACATGGCCAGAAACTCATCCAAATATCCCCAAAAATGACCCGAAACTCAGCCAAATCGCCCCCCAAATGTGACCTAAACACACCAAAATCTCCCCAAAAAATTAAAAGAAACTCACCCAAATCTCCCCCCAAAATGACCACAAACTCAAACAAATAACCCCAAAAAATTAAAAGAAACTCACCCAAATCTCCCCGAAAACTGACCACACACTCACACAAATCTCCCCAAAATATGACCAGAAACTCACCAACCTCTCCCCAAAAAATGACCCAAAACCAACCCAAATATTTTCAAAAAATCACCAGAAACTCTCCCAAATCTCTACCAAAAATGACCCAAAACTCACAGAAATCACCCCAAAGTATAACCAGAAACTCACAGAAATCTCCCCAAAAAATGACAAGAAACTCACCCAAATCTCCCCAAAAAATGACCCGAAACTCATCAAAATCTCCATAAAAAATGACCAGAAACTCCCAAAAATATCCCCAAAAAAATCACAAGAAACTCAGTCAAATGTCCCAAAGTAATGACCAAAAACTCACACAAATCTCCCCAAAATATGAACACAAACGCACCAAAAACTCCCCAAAAAATGACCAGAAACTCTCGCAAATCTCCCTAGAAAATGACCAGAAACTCACCCAAATCTCCCAAAAAAATAACGAGAAACTCACCCAAATCTCCCAGAAAAATGAACCCAAACTCACCCAAATCTCTGCAAAAAATGACTCAAAACTCACTGAAATAGCCCAAAAAAATCACCAGAAACTCACACAAATGTCCCGAAGAAATGACCAAAAACTCAAATAAATCTCCCCAAAAAATGACCAGAAACTCACGCAAGTCTCCCCAGAAAATGACCCAAAACTCACACAAATCTCCCCAAAAAATGACCACAAACTCACCCAAATCTCCCCAAAAATGACCCGAAACTCAACCAAATCTCCCCCCAAATGTGACCTAAACACAGCAAAATCTCCCCCCAAAATTAAAAGAAACTCACCGAAATTTCCCCAAAAAATGACCAAACTAAAACAAATCACCCAAAAAATTACCCAAAACTCACACAAATCTCCCCAAAAAATGACCACACACACAAAAATCTCCCCAAAAAATGTCCAGAAACTCACCAAAATCTCCCCAAAAAATGACCAGAAACTCACACATATCTCCCTAAAAAATGACCAGAAACTCACCAAAAACTCCCCAAAAAATGACCAGAAACTCACACAAATCTCCCCAAAAAATGACGAGAAACTCACCCAAATGTCCCAAAGAAATGACCAAAACATCAAATAAATCTCCCCAAAAAATCACCAGAAACTCCCAAGAAAATGACCAGAAACTCCCCAAAAACTCCCCAAAAAATGACCAGAAACTCACAAAAATCTCCCAAAAAACAACACAAAACTCACCCAAATCTCCCCCAAAAATGACCTGAAACTCAGTCAAATCTCCCCCCAAAAGTGACCTCAAATTCATCAAAATATCCCAAAAAAAAAAAGAAACTCACCCAAATCTCCCCAAAAAATGACCAGAAAATCACACAAATCTCCCCAAAACAATGACCAAAAACTCACCCAAAGCTCCCCAAAAAATGACCACAAACTCAAATAAATCTCCCCATAAAATGACAAGAAACTCCCCAAAATCTCCCCAAAAAATGACCACAAACTCACCCAAATCTCCCCAAAAAATGTCACAAAACTCACACAAATCTCCACCAAGAAACGACCAGAAACTCACACAAACCTCCCCAGAAAATGACCAGAAACTCATCCAAATGTCCCAAAAAATGACACAAAACTCTCACAAATCTCCCCAAAAAATGACCACAAACTCGACCAAATCTCCCCTCAAAGTGACCTCAAATTCACCAAAAATTCTCCCCAAACAATGACCAGAAACTCACCCAAATCTCCCCAAAAAATGACCCAAAATTCCCCCAAATCTCCCCAAAAAATGACCCGAACCTTGGTCAAATCTCCCCCCAAAAGTGACCTCAAACTAACCGAAATCTCCCCAAAAAATTAAAAGAAACTCACCCAAATATCCCAAAACAATGACCAGAAACTCACCCAAATATCCCCAAACAATGACCAGAAACTCACCCAAATCTCCACAAAAAATGACCCAAAACTCACCCAAATCTCCGCAAAAAATGACCCAAAACTCACCGAAATATCCCCCAAAAATCACCAGAAACTCACACAAATGTCCCGAAGAAAAGACCAAAAACTCAAATAAATCTCCCCAAAAAATCACTGGAAATTCACACAAGCCTCCACAGAAAATGACCAGAAATTCACACAAGCCTCCTGTCCTAGTTAAAACAACTGTGACCGATTCATCATTGGATGGGTGTAGCCCAAAACTGTGTATT